AACAACACTGGTCTGAAGAACAATGTTTGAACAACACTGGTCTGAAGAACAATGTTTGAACAACACTGGTCTGAAGGACAATGTTTGAACAACACTGGTCTGAAGGACAATGTTTGAACAACACTGGTCTGAAGAACAATGCTTGAACCACACTAGTCTGAAGAACAATGTTTGAACAACACTGGTCTCCAGTACAGTGTTTGAACAACACTGGTCTGAAGGACAATGTTTGAACAACACTGGTCTGAAAAACAATGTTTGAATAGCACTGGTCTGAAGGACAATGTTTGAACAGCACTGGTCTGAAGGACAATGTTTGAACAGCACTGGTCTGAAGGACAATGTTGTCATGACAGGTAAAGTGGATGCATGAGCCTTGAAATCTTGGGGCGTGGTACAACAAGACAAATAAGCTGGTGGCATAATGGACACATTCTGAGGGGGAGCGAACATAGAATTTTCAAACAAGACCTGAAATGGGAAACAAATGGACTGGGGAATCAGGGATGTCCAAAAGTGATCCTAAGACGAACGTTGAGGAGAAAGGCGAACGGTGTTGAACTGGGTTGCATCCATGATATTGAAACACTGGCACAGGTTACAACGGAGAGGAGGAATGCACTGAAAACCCTGTTTGACATATAACGGCAGAATATGATAATGATGATGATGATGATTATGACGGTAGAAAAAAAAAAATGGCGAAGAAGAATACGAAGCAGAGCTGAAAACAAGGAGCAGGAACATATAACATTCAGGAACAATAAGTCGATGACAATGACGAACACGAAGAAGGCAAACTGTCAAAGAAGACTACTGTAAAAACGACAAGAGGGAAGGGGGGAGGAGGAGAAAGTGAAGAAGCTAGGTATAATTTTTAACATTCCACTTAGAGCAGTCCATTAATGCATATTGAATAGTTTAACTTTATATATCCTATTCTTGATATACAGTGGAACCTCGCTTAACGAGCACAATTCGTTCCAGAATCAAACTCGTTAAGCGAAACACTCGTTATACGAATCAATTTTTGTCATATAAATTAATGTAAAATACGATAATGCGTTCCATGTCGAAAAAAAATACTCGCAAAATTATATGAATAACGTTTATTCAAAGAAAATTATATACATATTTAAGGAGAGTAAATCATCTTCATCTTTTTTTTTTCAAACGCGGAACGAACCCACTTGGAATGCGAGTTCGATTTGCTGGAAAAAAAAGTCGAAATAATTATGATACATAGCTAATTATTCCTTTACTAGAAAGATGTCCAGAGACACTTGTTTTTGCCGACGCTTCAAAATGTGGCGAAAATGCGACACAGCATTATCATTAAATAAATTTGCAGCGCGCATAGCCACTTATTTATTAGGGTGATGTTTCTCAGTGTGAGATGCAACAGTTTCCCATGCTTTCAGCATTTCTCTTATTTCGCCAGAAGATCCTTATTTTTCTGTTACCTTCTCATCCTCCTCCTCTGACAAACATTCCTCCAAAACTTATTGCTCTGAAACACATTGCAACTCCATAAGCTTTTCGGTGGTCAGCTCTTGGCTGTGCTCTTCCACAAGCTCTTAGAATATCGCTGTTATCCACCTACAATCCTATGATAGTGGCCAAAGACATAATCTCGTTGACTACAGGTTCCACCGGTATTGTCTCGAACCCCTCAAAGTCATAAATCGACAACACTCTCCGGCTAAAGCTTCTTCCATGACGAAGTTAGAGTTCTCTTGGTAACCCCTTCCCCCGCCTTGTCGATCATCTTGAGGCAGGCAACGACGTGGAAGTGATTTTCCCAAAACTCTTTGAGAGTGAGGTTGGTCCCTTCAGTCACTTGAAAACAATGCTCGAAAAGTGCTTTAATGTAGAGCTCCTTAAAGTTAGAAATAACTTGCTGGTCCATGGGCTGGAGTAACGAAGTGGTGTTGGGAGGCAGAAACTGGATCGTGATGAACTTAAATTCTTCAGGGACGTCATCTTGTAGGCCTGGAGGATTCATGTACATATATCACAAGTTTGAGAAAATGTGTCATCACAAGCGACACTACGATGTCACTGGAACGAGTGCTAAACACAGACTGGTGTAACATGCGCAAAATCTTCACCTCTCCTCGCCATTTGTTATGCGAAACGACGCTCGTTAAGCAAGTCATTCTTTTACAGTTTGTTTTGCTCGTTATGCGAATTACTCGTTATGAGAGGTGCTCGTTAAGCGAGGTTCTACTGTAGTTAGAATGTTTTTTCCAATTCTCATTTACAATTTAAATCCAGTGTTAGCCTAATCCTTTATTTGTTGCATAATAAATTTACCCATTCGTGTGCTGTGCTGTGATATACATGTTGTGTCAACACCACCTTGTTTTACTCCTTACATTTTGTTCGACGATTTTCTCAAAAATAAAAGTTGTAACATTAAAATGAAAGACGTTGAAGAGGATTTCTTTGTATGTTGTATTATTTGTTGTATTAACAGCTGAATTCGAAACGAAGGTACAAGCATTGGAAATGAAATCTTTCAAAAAAATTATTAGCATATCATACAGAGACCACATCACAAACGAAGAGGTTCGCCGTATAATCACCCAGCACATTGGTATCTATGAACCTCTTTTATTTACAATGAAAAGACGGAGAATGCAATGGTGCAGACAAGAAATAAGATCTAACGGCCTCTTGAAAACAAAACTACGAGGCTCGGTAGAGTGGAAGAGTTCTGCCATGAAAGACCTGGGTGCATAGCTTGACTAACTGCACAACTTTTCGGCATGCAACCATTAAGTCTGTTGCATCTTCCCACTAATGGTTGAGGGACAGTCAACAATAACCGGTGACCCAGCCACACACAGTGTGATGGAATGTCGATGAGGATGTATTATTTGGTTACGTCTTCTGTTCAATGACACTTCCTTAGTCGAAGCCAGCCCACATTCTACGATAACTATATCTCAGACCGTATGGTTCCCACTTGTATTCTTTTTACATATGCAGCATATTATAACTCTTGAGGTTAAAGAGTTCGTAAACCAAAAACAGTAGCGTGCGGGTAAAGGTAAAGATGAGAGGATCGACTTCATTGCACTAGGTTTTGTTTTTTATGACTCAGTCTCTCTCCGCAGAACAGCTGGCTGCTTGCTGAGAGCGTCGCACAGAGCACGATGTCCGTAGCTCTGGCGACAATCCTCAGGAATCTGTGAAAATTGCACTTGTGAAGTGAACAGCGCCGCCGCGAAACGAACCCATGACCTTCAAAGCGCAATGCAAACGCCTTGACCACTTCGCCACGCTGACTTCTGTCATATTGTGCTGTTAAACCATCAGCTGCACTACTTGTTTTGCCTTTCGGCGTTTTTGGTATAGGCGTTGCGAACGCGTTTCATAATACCGGGTTGCGTGGTTCAATCTCAGCTACAGGCGATTTGGCAGCAAACAACCTTTCATTGGTTTTGGCAGGGTACCAAGAGCCGACCGTGTAGTGCAATGGAAACTATTGAAGGTAAATTTGCCAAGAAAAACAACCACAGCCAAACAATGCTGGAGTTGGTTCTATAAAGTTCTGTAAAGGATACGCACGTGATAATGATGGTAACTCCAGGAGAGAGGGGCGGTGGACGATTCTGTCTCTGAAAAGGGGGCGGTGGGGGAAAAGGTTTGAGAAACACTGGTCTAGGCGATATCTAAAGATAACAGAGTAGTGATATAACAATACTGAGAAACAGTGTTGTGACAAAAACAAACATCATCAACAGCATTGACTGACTGACTTTCTACCGCACTAGGACATCACACAAGCGATATACACCCGATGACACAAAGTGCCACCATGTGGGTGAGGATCACCGTGGAGAGGTCCCAGAAACCGCGTTCAGACAATTGGCCATATTTATGGCCTGCCTATATTGCGGCCCCTGGCAAAAGCCAGGATGGGGCTTCAAATAACAAAAAATGTCATCCTAAATAGGACGAGTCTGGATTACATCAACAGCATTATGTGACGGACCGATAAACGTAAGCTGTCAGTCCCTGTAACATCCAGACACGATCACAGAATCAGGCAGCAGACACGGGGCTGTGATAAACATTCTGTGTGTTTTTAGTTGGCACAGGAGCGGAGCAACTATGGGGTGACCCGTTTGCTTTGAAGCTAAAACTAAGATTACCAGATTACCAGGTTACAGTGATCGAAACTGACTCAGAAAGCATGATGAGGAAGCGAGGACAAGAATGCGTGGTCAGAGTGGCATGTATTACTTCCGAGGTCACGAGTAAAGAGCATTGTCTGGTGCTTTTCTCCCACGAATGCTGCTGTGTTGGGAAAAGAGTTTATTTGAGTCAAGAACATACATCACAGCACTTGGAGCATTCCAACGCGTGCTCCGTCCTCATCTTCAGCAGCCAGCGTAGAGTTCCAATACTATACTAAAAGTACCGAATGCGAAATGAATAGGCGGGACAGATTGGCTTGCTCTGCACAACTTGATGAAATATTGATTCATGATAAGGCAGATGTGGGTAGGGCCTTATGTGGGCATGGGTACCATTCGGAACACTAAATTGATCGTCTCAGTCTAGTGAGTTATGCAGCCAGGAGTGACGTGAGGATCTTGTCGATACCCGACGCTCAGAGGAAAGGCAAGACGGACATTTAATGGGACTGCTACGGGTACAACTGCTATTTGAACTCTGCACTGGCTTCTGAAGATGGGAACAGAGCGCTCATGGGAATGCTCTGAATTCTGTGATATCGATTCTTGAGTCAATTAAGAATAACTTAGCTCGACGACCCTGCCTCATTTGTTTTTCTTTCATTTCCTGATAGAAAATATACGATACAATATCAGACCGAAGGCACGAAAGCACACAGCGGAAATGAAAGCTAACTTACTAACATGATGGCGGCGAATGACAACGACGAACAGTCCTACGCTTTACCCGATTTATCAGGATTATCAGATGCGGAACGTCTCCAAGTCATGGCAGTTATGCAGAGAGCTAAGGTAAGAATACCAACGTTGTCTAATGCCCCACATAAGTTGTTTTGCAGGCAACGAATATGTCATGAAATGAAAGAAGATAACTTGTTATCTTCTGTTGGGACACTTCTCTTGATTAGCCAGCCAAGTGATTAGGGCACCGCCTACCGCGAGAAACGATCGTAGATTTGAAATTTCAGCTGAATTTAGCGCGCAGATTTTCTTCCCATACGACGGTTTTAGTATTATCATTGCGTTATTAACATGAAGTCTGTAAGTATTTTAGTAGACCACCAACGCTCGTGGAATTTTATTTAGTATGAATTCTCAGTTAAATATGTAAACAGTCAAGTACAGCTGTTACAAAGTAACCACATAAGGTTCTTTCTGTGGATTACTGTGGAATAATTACACTGACACACGGAAGTATACACCGACGACACACATACGCATTCCACACACAAATTGAACGATCACAAAATACTCCAAGTTAGTGTTGTCTCAGGCTTATTCATTCCTGGAAGGTGCCAGGGTTGTCGCGGATACTTATTCTTGAGTTTTGGCTGAAATCTAGTATATTAATGTTTACTGTAGTAATAAGATTTACTGTTGTTATCTTTGGTCATATCTTTCTTTATATTGTGTCAGTAATTCGTTAATTGAGAGTCTATCTATTGCACACTGCAGTTTATTTTAAAAAAATATTACAGTATATCAGATTAAACCAGAAAGTAAGTAATAGTCGAAATCATGTTGTTTATAACACATTTATCTTGTCATTGGAGGTTGGGGGGTAAAAAAGAATCCCTGCATGCTAGAGTTTAAAGATGCGACTGAAAATTAATAAACAACATTTATTAAGGCTTCTGAGATTTGGTTTAGTTTTACATTTAAAAGAAAAAAAATATTGTAAAAAAACTTCACAAACAACCTGAGTTAGTAATCTGTTTGTCTCGAGTGAGAATAAGATAGAAAAATAAGTTATCACAGCTATCAGAAAGAGACACATGTTTTTTTGACACATTTTGTGATGGGGGTCTAGAATGTTCTGACAACAAGAAGAATTTATCGAAAGAGATCAAGGGGAAACTGTTGACAGCTCTTTATCATGGCATGGAGGTGTGTTAGCATACCAGTTGATACATACTTTTGGGCAACAGGTAGTTTATGCTTTGAATGGATATAAATCATTCAGATAAATGAAATTGCACCTAACCTCCCTCACTTGAATTTACACACCAGACATGCTAGTTAAAAGGTAATGAATGAGTGGCCCGGGCTGGCAAACAATGCACCAATACATGAGGACAGAAACAGGGACAGAGCGGCTAGTGGATAATGACTAATCCCTGACTCTTAACACAGTTGCATGACCTAAGAGTAAAGCATCCTCATGTAAACAAGCAGTAGAGGTACCCTGGATTGGCTGCTGCATGAAGGACTGAGCATGTGTGGGAATACCCAGTGTGCAGTGACATTGATTGTGATAACATAGCATACAGTTGGAGATTGCAAGTTGTGGAGAAGCATGTTTTCATTTGCAAGTATGTCTATAGACACTTTATGATGATGATATAGAACAGTCAGGAACTTTCTTGGTCAGGTTAACTTTGTCATAGCCAGAATATCACCAGATTGAGGAGGATGGAAATAAACCTCTATAAGAAATCTCACACACAGTTTTATAAAAAAAAAGCGAGAAAATAAAATACAGTTGAAGAGGACACAGAAGAAGCCAGATTTATTGAGTATTCTGTGGCCAGATGTAAAACATAAGAGAAAATACATTGTTTGATGGTCAGGATGCATGTGGAAAGACACAGTAGTTCATCTCACATAACTAGGGGCAAAATGAAACCTAAATACAATAATATATGCAAGTTTGATAAAAACTGGCCTTATGCTGCAGTTTACAGGATTAAATCTGACTGTTGTTGAACTTGGTAAACTCTTAACACTGGGAAGTTAACTTCTCAAAGATGAAACATCTGTTGAAGGATGTTAAGTCAGTTCAGTTTTCACATTTAGTTTAGTAGACATCTTAATTATTGCTTTCTACTTTATACTTAGAAAGAAAGGTTATCTTGGTGACAGTGCCCAATTTATAAAAGGGAAAATATGCATTAGAGAAAGCTATAAAGTAAGAAGCTTTGCTTGGGCACACTGTAGTTTGTGACAAATTTATTAGTGGCACCCAGAAGTAATACATGCTTCTTAGATAGAAGTCGAAGGTTAAAGTCGAGATGATCAGCACCCAGAAGTAATACATGCATCTTAAAAGTCAAACATTAAAGTCAAGATGATCGACTTCAGTGCACCAGATTTTATCCCATAAAGCTTGGTCTCTCTCTCTGCATCTCAACCAGCCACCTGCAGAGAGGATCCCCCAAAGCATGAACACTGGAATTAGTGATGATTCTAAGGGGGGGGGGGGATCTCCATAAAAATTGCACTCGGGAATAAACCCAGTTCAACAAACCCACCACCTTCAGAGCGTGAAGCAAACTGCTTGACCCTTCACCATGGAGAATACAAGCATGTCAAAGGAGCCAGCAACAGGAAGTTGTCGTTGATCTGAAGCCGGCTACCTCAGCCTGCATGAAGTTATGAGTGGCTTCTTCTTCTGTTTTTACTTTTAAAAAGGCAGTAGACACATTGTGCTGTGGTTTTTAGCCAGACTGCAATATCTGCATCTTTTAGCCGAATGTAGCTGATTTCAGCATATCTGACATTAGTTGTCCTTTATGACATGCTTATTACGGTGGCAGCGGGTATACTCTCTTCCCTTCTCTGTGGGGCCCAGGAACTCCTAACGGGAAGTAAATAAATCTAAAATGGTGTTGGTGTGAGTTGACTGGAGGCCTTTGCTATTTTCGGAGATGAAAGGCAGAAGAAAAAAGAAGTTAAATTTAAACTTTTGGTCGAAAAATGGGTTGACCATTGATTGACTCTCTGATATAGTGGCAGTAATCATTAGCCTATCTTCTCTTTCACTGCCAACAACACTCACAAGTCCTGGTACAGAGGCAAACATAACTTTATTAATTGCAGACCTCTGTAGGGATTGCCTCCAAATAATGAAAGCATCAGTACTCAGGGACAAGAAATGTTGTCGTGCCAGAATTCTCTTCAAGTATACTTTTTCTTATCATCTCTTCTTCCTCTTCATTTTTGCTTTTAAAAGGCTGGTTGACATGATGTGTCAGGGGCATTGGGTCAGAATGGGGCCCCAGAACCCACACGGAAATCTAAGTTTACTTTGCATAGGGGTCATGGTGACTAGGTAGCTCTTTTATGTAGAAACCAGTGTTCTTCAACTGGTAGTCTATGGTGGGCTGCAGGAATGTCTGGGTGGGCTGCCCAAAATGTGTACTAATCGTGCAGCGGCTACATTGATCCAGCACTGTATTGCTGCATAGCGAGTGAGTCTTTGTACATGACACATTTATTGTCTGCATCTTGTTTTGTTTTCGGTTCGTTATCAGGTGGTCCTCATAACAATCCCCCCCCCCCCCCCCCACTTTTTTCCCCCCGTTTGCTGGTCTGTTGGTATAAGTTTGAAGAACTCAGGTCTAGACATTGATCATACTTCCTTCACAAGCTGAGTCAGGATGATTTATTCTGACCATCACAGCTGCAGGGTCAATCCAGATTCATAAACATGGGTACTAGACACTTTCAGAATTGTCTGGGAAGAACAAGTGATGAGGAAGAGAACTGACTACCTCACATTTTCTGTGTCAAAGCTGTTCATCTGGCAGCCAGCAGGTCAGATTTGGCTTACAGAGGCGTAGAAAGTGGCTTATAAAAGTGGCCTAGAAAGTGCCAGTTGAATTCTATTAATGATCTCTTCCTGCTGTTACTCAAGCCTCTCTCTTGTGACGATCCCCATTGTCAACATTTTGGCCCCTGAGTAAACCTCATTGATTAGCCCTAGTCCAGCATGTTGTGAGGCCTTATATTTCACACCTTCCCCATGTGGGTTACACAACCCTATTTTGATGGGGGAAGGGGGATGGACTCGCTGACTAGCTTCTCGCAAACATGCCTAATTGTCTGAAAGGCCAGAAACCAACAGTCTGTGTACAAGTAAACCAGATCTGTAAAATGGATTAGCATTCACCTGCTGTAAACTTTGGTGGAAAGTTCTGGTTGTTCCAGAGCCACCTCAACAGCATTATGGGCCCCTGGGCAAATCAGTATACTGAGATCCCTACAACAACCACTCTTAAGGATAAGGATGAAATGTAAATGGTCAATAATGTTAATCATATACATAGATAAGCATTTGGCCCCCGGGCAAGTGCCCAGTGACCCCCATGTGTTTAGACAGCCCTAGGTTGTTCGTCTGTTTCTGGACCTTAGTCTTCTTCCAGAGCTTGAGTTCTGTGTGCACACCTGGCTTGTGTGTATGCTGCCTCCTCAGGCAGATGATCTCTGTTTGCAAGGAAAACCCCTAATTAGTTGCCTTTGACAATATGCTTATTAGAGGCAGTGGGTCTATTACCCAAAATGGGGCCCCAGAACCCATACGGGGCAAGGAGACAGTATGGCTTCCTTAAGTATTTTATAAACATTATCCTGTAACTGAGCAAAAACTTAGCCCTTTTTTAGTAGTACCCATGATTTTAGAGTGATAGAATGAAAAATTATGTCTGTTTAATTTGTTGAAACAAAAAATAAAAACTCCATTGGCTATACTTCATGAGATTGCTAATGAAACAGTTATTGATGGCATCTACCCAGTGATTGATGCTGGATGCGGTAACACTCCGCACTGCTAAAGCTGCTCAGCTCCCAGCCATAAATATGGCTGGCTCTGCTGTGGCTCAGCATGGGCTCGGGTAATGTGGCAATGGATGGCTCTCACCTTTCCCTCTGTGGTTGCTGCTTCTTATTGGGCTATTTAAAGCAAGTGATATCCTCAACTGAATTGTCACATGAAGAGATCTGTTGTCAGGCTGGCATTTGTCATTGTCAGTTTGGATGTCGGACATCATGTGTCAGGCTTTAGTTTCAGTTGT